GAAATCAAATAGAGATAAAATGGAGACTTTTGCTTCATTCTTCTGCTGATTCAAGTAATATCATATGTCTCCTCTAGATCTTCAGAAGAGAGCTGAAGTCAAACCAAAATGCAAGATTTCAGTACTTTATCAAACACTTCTCTTCAAAGAATATACATTTTCTGAGCAATATTATACAAATTAATTTTACAGGTCTATACTTTGACTTTATATCAAGTATAGTCTCATTTGTGTCTATTGTTATTTCTCCTAAGGAATTTTAGGAGAAACATTTGATACATTTCTGTTAGCACTATACTTTTTCATAGTTTTAATTTATTGAATATTTGGGCTAATATGATAATGCTTTCAGCTGCTAATAAGAGTGTAGTACTTTCAGCTACAACAACTCAGATTCATTATTTCACCAGGTCAAGTCTGGGCCTGAAGTTGAACAAAAATGACCACGGCAAATGATGGCTATCGCAAATGAAGTACCTTGCAGTTCTTTGTCCGGCCACCATCCCAGCTCACAGGCTTTGCAGGTAAACTCATCCTGGACATATTCATTGTCCTTACAGGCCGTACAAATCCAACAACAACTCACCTCCCCTTTCCTGATCACCTGTGAAGACACATTATGCACGTTTTTTTAAGAAGAAATGCATGCAGTGGAAATAAAGGGAACTTTTTTCATTAGAGTTTTTGCTAATAAATATACAAACTAACCTTGATCTCTCCTTTGGAGCAGGGCTCACTGCAGACAGATCGGACCATCTCACTGCGGTTCATCTGGATCATATAATCATCGATACTTAAAACACCTTCATGCCACGAGCCAACGTTTATATAGTCATAAACGCCAGGCTCCACAAACTGCAGGTTCATAATGTCATACCTTTAAAAAAGAGAGAAGGAAATTCATCTACAATACAACTATTATTATCGCTCATAGTTAGGGTTAGCCTAACCTAAACCTAAGTATTAAACTTCAGCATATAAGCCATCCTATGTCGTGACTCAAATTTTCTTTGGAATAAATAATGCAAAACGTTGATTATTGCTACCAAAAGACAGAATTATGGACAAAACATACAGAAATGCCTGCAAGTGAGTGTTTTCCAAAGTCAGGCCACTGGACTTATTGGATGCACACTCCATGGTGGTTTAAAAATTAATGAATAGCTATTTTTGTGTTATTCATTTAGTGCATAAAACGTAGATTTATGTAGGCCAGTAAGTAAGACTGACCTGCCTGGCAAGTCCCCGTTTTCATCGAACCACACATCTTCTCCAGACACACCAGTAAACGAGGTCTTGAGGAGAAAGTCCAGCAGTTTGCTGCCATCAATGGGGTCCATGGCGTCACACAGTCCCACGTGACCCGGACACAAGTGCTCATGCATATCATGAAGACCGTGAGCCATGGCGTAGATGGCATTAATGACGAAGCCCATCTTACTGTCCTGGACATAGTTGTCCTCTAGGCTTTCATAACCTGTGAGAATCAGCAAACCAAAAAGTAATTATTAGAACATCACTGCAATGCACCCTGAATGTTTTAGTCAACATGAAACAACATTTGCAACCCATTTTACATCCTTATAGATCTAAACAGCTATTTGACTACTGGTTGACATTATCCAACAGCCTACATGGCCTAAGTGATGTTATGGTGCTTTTCCACTGCATGGTACGGCACGGTACGGCTTGGTACGGTTCACTTTTTGGGGGTTTTCCACTGGGTACAGTACCTGGTACTTTTTTTTAGTACCACCTAGTCTTTTCATATAGGCAATGAAGTTTTCTTTAGAATAATGTGTACTAATGAATCATTGACAGTAAATAAAGAAACATGCATTAAGAAAGTAAACAGGGTCAATTTTGATTTCATGTTGACTGCATTAAATCATTCAGCAATACCAGCAAATTCTGAAAAGTTCCACATTTTGCAACTAAAAGGCTTTTACTGGAATGAAAATCACAATGAAAATCCCCACTGTAACAGTTCAGCCATGATATTTCCAGACCCCATTTCATAGTCATTTTTGAGCACTTGAAAGGGAACGATAGGGTGTCCAAAGACATCATTATTCCTAAGCCACGGGCGACAGGAAAGTAAGTTCTGTCTTTTTCTATTGGACAGTGAAGCAAAAGACAGCAGCATTAAAACAGAAGATCAAACGAAATGCAGTTGCCCTGGCCAAGCAAACCATTTATGTAACCCAACTCAGCATTTAATTAGTAATGGACATGATGGTGACATTATTATTAATTGAGCAAGGAAATTAATTATTCATCCGTGTTCTCATTCTTGCCCGTCTCCCTCATGAATCAAAGTAAATGTGGCTAACAATTGAAGAAAAAAAAACAAAAAAGATCGCTGTGTTAATTCAAAGGAACAGGCAATGTCAAAGGACACCCTACAGCATCAGCTCATTATCTGGTGATCTGTAACAAGCCAGCAGGAAGCAGTATCAGGCACCATAGCTGATACATATGGTGTATTTCAAAGATAAAAAAAATACATATTCAAAGAAAACACTCATCGTAACATGGCTCTCACATTATATCTGTAAATTAAAGTGCATTGCAGCAAGCAACAGGCGAAAGCTAAAAACCTAAGCATGCTTCGCTTTGTCAATACCTAATTTTTTGGGATGGGCACAAACCATAATATAACAGTGACACTCTGAGAAAAACTGAGACATTAAATACATGTTTTATTAATAATACAGGCAGATTGCGAGGATTTCACAGTGTTTCTAACCCCCTGGCTCTCTATTAGATCATTTGTGTTCAAAAAGCGATTTCTTTTATTTGGTATGTCAATGTTTTGTTTACATGCAAAGTGAAATAATTAGGACTGGAGGCTTCAGTAAGGATATGATACTGTGCTATGATAGCTATACCCAAATATCATCTCATCACAAAATTAATCTCATCAACAATTCATCAAAATCATTCCAATAATCAGATAAAAAAATGTGAAGAGCAAACAATAGAGGAACAACGTGCTGTCTAGCTTAATTTATTTTAGATTTTTAAATATTAATTTTTTTATGATGAGTAAAGAAATAAATAGTCACCATATAATTTACTATGACCTTGTTTACCCTATTTACAATGTGACACCAGATTATAATGTGTCTGGTCACTGTTAATTTTGTCAAAATTAGTGAACACCAAAACATTTTTCACTATAGTCACAGTATGACATCGATACAATCGAATTTTTTTTTTTCAGCTGTGCATGTTTAGCAGATGCATGTTGTAAGTGGAGCCGAATCTATAGAAATAAGAAGCGTGACCTCTTAATTTCTTCTCTCTGAAGGCTCTGATTTATATTGGCACAAGCAACTAAAAATGTTTGGAGCTTAAACGAGTTCCCCACTGGAACATGCGGCAAAGCCAACTGGCATGATAAATCTAGCTGTTATTGGGATATAAAGTTCAAACCGTATAGATGCTCATTTCTTTTTTGGGGAAAAAAAAACATCCCAATAACTTCATATATTAGAGGTCAACCGATATTCAGTGCTGCATTGCGACCTTGTTTACAATAGTAAACTCTCTTATCTAATAATGTTTACTAAAAAGACACAGAGTCACACAACATCATTTATTTTTAAATCATATGGTTGTATTATATCAGTCGACCTCTATCTATATTGCTGAAGTGAAGTGTCTCCACGTTAGCTCTTCAGAAAAATATCCACTTACCATCTTGGAGTTCTAGACAAAGAAATAATAACAGAACAGCAGACTATAACTATTTCTCTGTTTGATTATTTGTAACAGTTTTTCATTTTGAGTTTATGTTTACATTTCAAAAAGTTAAAATTAACATTTTGCATAAAGATCACCTCTTGCCTAAAAATGAAAAAGAAAAATGATAAAGCAAAGCAACGCTGTAAAAATTTGGACAAACAACATGAAAATCGCATAAACGTAGATCAGATAATAAAGCATTATAATTTAAAAGCATCTAACAAGCTAAAACATAAATATATTGCTTTGTGAAACTAAATGTGGCACTGCAAATGCAGAAAATAAAGTCAGGTGTCATTTGACAACATGCTTACTGAGTGTTGTCTCAAAACTTCAGCTGATGTTAAATATGAACCCAGCCAGATAGAAATGTGCCATAAAAAGAGTCAATTTACCTAGATCACCTTTTCAGTCAGCAGAGAAGGTTTCGAAGATACAAAAAGAGCAAAAACACAAAAATATGATTTTAAATTATTATAAACCCAATAGGTATGTGTTTCATTTGCTTCTGTTTTGGGAAATAACAGCTATAACATGCAAAATGGGTCATTCCTGTTCTGCCGTACCTTTTAGGCTGATGATACACTGGGCAACTTTTTGAGCAATGTTGCCGTCAAAGGGCAACCAGGTGAGACACAGTGCCCCCAACTGATCTAAAATCTCCAGATAGAAATTTGTTACCCATTCTCAATGGGAAAGTGCCCAAGCAACGTTGCACAAAAAAAAGTTGCCTGGCAAAATTGCTCAAAAAGTTGCCCCCATGTATCATCAGCCTTAAACTCTGTAATTTGATCAAACAGGATGAATTTTTTTTTTTTTTGCATGACAGCTATAGCCACAAAACATCAAAGAATCCTTAAAATCCACTGCTCACACTTACAAATGTTTGTGCCAGTCCAAAATACCAGTTCATAATCCATAATAATGCTTCCTCCAGTTAAAAAGTCCATCATCTGTTGCCCTCTCACATCGAAATACACCAACATATTTGTTTAGAACTGTTTTAAACTGTTTTCAAACAGTGCTTGACCTGTGCATATTTTTATCTGGATTTAGTCTGGACGACTTTTTCACTGGAGAAGGCAATAAAGCACTCGTCTTTTAACTGGAAGCAATGGTTTAGAGTTAAATCGCCTTAAAGATGGATTTGCTTTTCACTTCACAAGACGTCAGTTGATGGACTGGAGTCGTGTGGATTACTTGTGAATTACCGTTTTTTTTTTTTTTTCAGCTGTTTGGACTCTCATTCTGACGGCACCCATTCACTGCAGAGGATCCATCAGTGAGCAAGTCACGTAAAGCTAAATTTTTTCAAATCTGTTTTGATTAAGAAACAAACTCATCTATATCTTGCATGGCCTGAGAGTGAGTAAATATTTAGCACATTTTATTTTCTGTATGAAGTTTCTTTTTTTCATTTTAGAAGTTCGTAACATTTGCCTGAACAAAGTAATGAATTCTTTCAAATTCACCTCTGTGTTCACTTATTTGTGATTTTTTTTATCAAAAAAAACTCAGTTAATATTTTATCTAATATATTAGGTCATCTATGATGGGGACATGAAAATGTACTGTATACTAGGAATGACCCATATACAGCCTTGCTCTCCTCGTACCTGAGCAGTTCTTCTTATAATTCGTGTTTTCTTGTGGATGTCCCAGGAGGCGGCACTGGAAACGATGCTGCCAGAATTCAGCAAACCAGGGGTTTCTATTGTTGGTGTTGAGTCGTAACTTCAGGTAATACTCATCGAAGGACATGACCTCCTCCGACTGTAGCTTCATGGTGATGCCGCCCACAGCTTCCTGCTCGTAGCCCTCCACAACCTCATCCCTGTCCGCCCAGCCGTCGCTGAAGGAAACGGTTCACAAAGTGTCTAATTAGTCACCTAATTACCACCAGCTTCCTCTTCAATCTCTCACCTGCAATGCCTGAATAACACTGACGCTCGAGTGCATTGACCTACATTAGCACAGGCTAAAGAACAGACTCAGCATGCACAACACTTACTTTGTGTTAGACGGTTCATCATTAAGTGATGTGATGATGGCTGCCAGCTGATTGATATAATCTTCTCTGATGCTTTTAGCTACAACATTCAAGATATTGTACAACTGGCTGCCTTTGCAATGAATAAGCTACTATTTCGGGCATGTCAAAAGAGCATGAAAACATTTACATGAACTATATAAGAGCAAGAAGTAATCCCAGGCTGTTTTTTTAGTTCCAGTCCATCCCTGCATGAACGTGTGTTGTTTGAGCTCATAATGAAGGTGTCTTTCTTTGGTCATGGCATCATCAGCACCATCTGCCTCTCAGCATCTTCTCGGCAGCACGCCAAAAACTGACTATTATTAGTTGACACTTCATATTTCACAGATGACAATTTACCACGAGCAGCTGACAAGCATTGTGTGTTCTCAAAGTGATTACAGCTTACCAAAGAAATGCCACAATCAAGCGTTGCTTCAACTTTTATGTCCCAGGAGTTGATTTTAATTAAAAACCAAAAGATTTTAGATTTTACTTTTGCCTATCAAACTGACAAATGGTCTTTGATGATTTGTTGATTGCATTTAACAGATTACACTTTCAATAAAACATTTCCAATTGGTTTGTAAAAAGGTGTTTTTATGCATGTTTTGGCCTGAATTTTTGTTACATGTACAGCTGTGACCAGCAAGTGTCAACAACGTGTGGTGTCTGGAGCACCAAGAATTGAAGCAATGATTCAATCAAGGGCTTAGAATTTATTAGGGACGCTAGGGACATGTCCCAATATCCAGCGACTTTAGTAGTTTTGATCAAACAATTGAATATATGTATATGTAACCACTGCTGTTGTAATTTTGGCTGAATCTGAAATCATACCATTGATATTACCTGAGAAGTTAAGGTAAATACGCTAAAAATGTACATCCTTGAAATGGAGCTTTTCGAAACCCCAAATCAGTTAAACCATTGCGTCGCAAAATGATTCACTGTTTTGAAGTACTACAATCGGATAGCGTATCACAAATCAGTTTGATTCAGATCGGGACTTCAAAGCGCTTCGGAGCGGGTTCAACTTCAAAGCACTTCAGAACTTCAGAACAGGTTCGTGAATCTTTTGATTCAGATTGGGACTTCGGAGCACGTATCGCAAATCTTTTTTTCTGATTCTTTTTTTTTTTTATTAAACAGTAAAACCATGGTTAATTTTTGTAAGGGATATGTTGCCAGATTAACAAAAACTGTAATAAATGTACACCTTAAGAGGACACATAAGATGAATATAGAGATACATTTTGATTGCTTTAGGATTAACAGAACTTTGGATAGTTTTCATATACTTTTCTAGAACAACTCTGAGTAAAAAAAGAGAGGCAGATTGTAGAGCCAGATATTTGTTCATGTATGTGAAATTTGGCTAGCAGGAAACACAAATCAGTTGACTTGTACAGTATTTTGCTATATTCTCTTTTGAGTAGTCAAACAATCCAAAGAAAATATCTTTAAAACTGCTGCTGTAATGTTGTTGGTTTTACATAATCAAAATTGTATTATTATAGTCTGATGAATATGCTAACATAAAAAAGCTCTCTTTATGAATTATGAGTATGTTAGCTACCATATCTATGAATAAAGACTTTAGATGACATGAAACTGTGGTCAAAAGTCAAAAGCTGTTACAGTATGTTCCCAACAATCAAACCTATGCCCAAGGATTCAATTGATTCAAAGTTTTGAAAAGGTATGTTTCTCCCATCATTTGTCATGTAAAACCAAAAAATGCTGTTCCTTTCCAAAAAACAATACTAAAATTAATCATAAGTACTTCTTGTGGAACACACAGGCTTGACCTTTGACCTCATTTTTGTACATTTGGAACTTCTGCAATTTTAAATATTTGAAATTTGAATTCAGAGTTCTACATTTCTTTCATTTGAAAACTCAATAGTAGTTTTATAATCTAAATATTTACAGCTCATTTCACATTTTCACAATTCTGAATACAAATGAATACAAATCAACAATTACATTTTGTTAATATACAAAATATAAAAAATTTTGTTAATATAATTTACTAAATTCATCTCAAATGCATAATATTCAAACTAAATCATTTTAATTGTTACTGTGCCACACTGTTAACTAGTCAAATCAGCCTGATGTGACTATTATGTCTTTCAGTAAGTTACTAAATTACATAGCTTTGAATTAGCCTCCTTTAAAACAGTCTCCTTGACCCAGAATAAAGCAGCCTTGTCCAAATGATGTTCCTCTTTTCAGTACATAGAGACTTGCTTTGGCGTCAAGACAGAGGTATAAAATACTTTACACCAACAAGAGAGGGTTCTGCTGATTAAAAAACTAAAGGGACAGTCATCCATCATTTTAATATCTCATTAATAGAAACCTGCAGTATCAGGAAATCACGATCATTTCAAAGCAGAATCCCTCTGATTGATCTGATGCTTTATGAAACTATCAAGGATTATGCTTTAATGCCTCTAAATGTCCCCAGCGTCCCTGAAGTGTTACATTTCATTAAATTAAAAATGAATAGTCACCTGCCGATGAGGAGGAATTCTCCAGCTACACCAAGGCGTCTCATGGCCATGAGGAGACCACGAACAGTCATCCCCTCACAGAAACACACCACCACACGAGCTTTGGGCAGACGCTCTCGCAGTTTCCTCAGCAGCCGGTCAAAGTGTTTCTCCCCAGCGTTGCTGTAGATCTTGTCAGAATGTGCGATACACAAACCTTCCTGAGATGCCAGTTCTTTAAAGGCCTCCATCCCGCTCTCGCCATAGTTCCCTGAGGAACGACAGCCAACACAAGAGCGTCTAAATCAGAGAGTCTCTCAATGCCTCAGTCCAGCTCAGTGTCAATGCAATGAGTTTGGCAACTTAACCGTGTCTTCAAAGTTCCTCTGCTGAGCAGATGAAGACTGCAGATAGACTTTAGTCTGATTTAAATTACAAGTGTCACATCCTACCTTAATAATCTTACAAAAAAACAAAAAAAACAGACCTGCTGAGATTGTTACACATTTTTTGTGTGCTAAATAGACAGTTGCCTATTCAGAATGTAAGAACTGTCTCTTTTTCTTTTATGAGTTTAAACATCCATGTTAACATTAAATTGGATTGTGAATTGGAATTAAAAGTTTTCTGAATTTCAGGTATTATCCATTATTATATACATCCAACAAAGTATTTCTAGAAACATTAGAAATGTTTTTCAAGTAAAGTGATAGCCTGGTTGAATTCTTATTTAACTGGGAGAGTTCAGAGAGTAGAAATTATGGGGTTCTTTCTGAGGAAATGTTTGTTGAGTCCCTCAGGGAAGTGTTTTAGGCCCTCTTTTGTTTCTTTTATATATTAATGACATGCAAGCAGTTTGTGATTGTAATTTGTTTTTATAGGCTGATGATTCTGCTTTATTAATTTCAGATAAGGATATTGGTAGGATACAAGTGCATTTAGGTAAGGAGCTTTGTAAGGTAAGAGACTGGCTCTCTGAAAACAAACTGATGTTGCATTTAGGTAAAACGGAATCCATGGAAACATTGTTACAAAACTAGGCAAAGTCTCATGGATATTACATTATGTCGTTTTAAAATTATGTATGGTCGTAGGTCTTTTAGATATTCTGGGTCACTTTTGTGGAAAAAGTTACCTTTGGACATTAAAGGTATTTTGAATATGGTTAGTTTTAGTTTAAAAGCTAAAAGTTGGTTCTTAAGTAGGTTGTTTTGTTGATGAATTTGTATTACGTACGTGGTTATTTGTGACTGTAAATTTTTGTAAATGTGGAATTTTATTATAATTTCTGTATTTATAATGCAGTGCCAGTGTACCTGTTACCGGGAGTGAAGTTTGTGCTTTACATCAAGGACCACAATGTAAATAAGTTTTGTTTTAAACTTTATTGTGTTATCCTTGACGAATAGAGTGTATTCACTACTTTTTTTGTCAAATAAACATTATATTATATTATATTAATTCTCAATGTTTGAAATTACTCTTATGTTTGATATTGGTGTATATGACATTGGACTTGTTTCAAAATGAACTACAGATGATGACACAGATATTTGTTTCACTGAATGATTTGAGAGCTCAGCTTGTGACCCTGATTGTGCTTTCAAATGCTGTTAAGAACATTAGATTACAGTGTTACTTTTTAATCACAGATTGGGTTGTATTTGGAATAATGTGACGCGATATGAGACCAACATCAATCTCTTGATAATGATATAGTGATTAAAAAGTCTGTTCAAAGACACTCAGCATGTATACTGATTGTTTGACCTTGTGGAGGAATTTAAGTGATATTTGGATTCAAGTACTGTAGCCTCTGGTTCTTCTGGTCTAATTTCACTTTACCATCCCAAACAGACCTATTTATGTTATTTAAAATGCAATCTGGGCTATTTTTGAAAGTCAGCTCAAGATTTAAGCAAGGGATGATCATGTAGAAAAGAAAAATCACAAATAAGATATATTTAAAACCTGATCTGTTTCTCCTGGACACCAGTGAGACTAAATGGGGTCCAATAGAGATCCCAGTAATCTCACGTGTGTCTCCACAAGAGTTTCAAAGAGATCTTAACATCCTAAACTGTGCTCCGTTTTGGAACTCAAACATTTCTCATAAAATTCTTTTAAGACCAGAGGATCTGACCTGCTATGCACAATTAATTGTATAGCTCTATGATGAGAACCGACTAATTTGTGTCTTTTTTTTCCTTTTAGTGTATTTTAGGAGAACCATCTGAGATACATGCTGATACTTGAGAACATCTTCTGAGCTCTAAAAGAGCTATAACTCACCCTCAGTGTGAACTGCTGACACGTACGTCCAGTTGTAGCGTTTAACGATATCCAGGAGAGCTCTGGCCTGAAGAGTGTCAGAGGGCACGACCCTAAGGAAGTACTTATAGAGGGTTTTATCGCTCAGATCAATGCTTGTAGCCGAGTACGCAATCTGAGGGATGTTGAACAGCTGCAGCAGGTTCTGAACTTGAATGGCCACTGAACTGGATCCAGGTCCAATCACACCAGCGATGGGCTTTTTGGTGGCCGGTGGCTGAGCGGAAGGATTTGCCTCAACGCACCACTTCGTCCCGTCTTTGTCATCACGGATGGAGATAAGCGAGTCTCTTATGAACTCAATACTCTGTTCCAAAGCCACTGATGAGTGCCAGCAGGAGTCCCTGATCTCACAACCCAGAGTGATGTTGGGAAGAAGGTTTGGATCAGCGTTTATTCTATCTAGTGTATAAAACATCGCTTCCACTCTTTGGATCCCGTACTGTTCCCTGATCTCCCCGCACTTTCTTTCCGCGACCTTCTCTGCCGCAGGTTGATGATGGACAGAAAACAGAGCGCCGATGATGATATCGCCATCCATCCTTGCCACGGACCGGGAGGCTGCTCTGGGAACCACTGACCTCTGATGAACATCAGCTGATGAGATGGGACAGGTACAAAACAATAAGACTGAGAGACACAAAAAAAGTAGGAAATTCATTCTCAACATCATCATCATCCTCATGGTGTCAGATGTCTTCAGTTAAAATCAGCTCCATCTTGCTGGTAAGAGACAAAGATATTTGTTGCATTCCTGTCCAGCCATCATCATCCAAACAGCTTCCCTGCAGAATGAGGATGAGAATTAATCACTTCAGATCGCATTCTAGCAGCACCTACCGATGTGATTAACTGTCACGGTTTGTTCTTTTTTTTAAAAGTCTGATGAGCCAGAAAGTCATGCACTTTGTCAAAGGACGATGACATAATCATTCATAATGAAAATATATCCTTATTATTTGTAGATGAATTCTGATACAGGCATTTGATATTCACAGACAATATAAATCATCCTAGATATCTGCTGTGGACATTTCTGAATCAAACAGACATTGAAACAACTGACAGAAGTTTCCTAAACATGCTCCATGTGTCCTGTATAGATGAGCTGTTCTGTGCCATGATTCAACTAAAATACAATAGTCAGCATGCAATATATTCTAACAGGACTCTAGTTTAGTGATCTGGCTGATGTATTATATCTGTCATGCATTCAACGCTCATTTAATCAGCTCATTCTCACCTGAAATCACAGCGCGTGTCTTCACATCTCTCTCCTGAGCTGCTGGAGCACAAACTGAGCCTCCTGTTTTCATCCTCCAACATGAACGCAGGAACCTCCTCCTTTATTATCACGGCTCACACTCCAGACACACAAATACTGAGGAATATGAGAAATATTATATATTACATTTAGCCAATTATGTGTTATGTGTGCCTTCTTTAAAATTAACAACTTATCTAAAATGCATTTTTTTGGCTTTTGTATATGTTGTTTCTAAATAGTACTTATTGCAAGATTATCCAAATTCCCCATCAAATACAAAAAAGGCATATAAATACAGATACACAGATGTCAAACAATTGATATTAAAGTTTGCAATGAGAAAACATCAATATCACATTGTACAGAAATTCAGGCACATAGCCTATATAATTATTATCAATACTTCAAATATCAAGTAATGAATAAAAACCTTATAAGAATATTGAATTGTGGGACACTTTAGAGTCCATTGCAGTAAGCAGGTGAGAGATTAACGTACTGCACTGGATTCACACATTCATTTGACCTTGAAATATCACTGATTCTCCATGTCCCACAATTTCACTTGCCATTAATTTATAAAACAGCAACATTGCTAGGTACTAAATTTGCAAATGTTTAAAATAAATACCTGGCACGTAATTTTTTTGTATCTAACAGATTTTGAATTATGAGTGATGAACATAAACAAATTTTTGTTGAAAACACATTTTATTGGTCATTAATTTAAAAAGGACAATGCTTTGGGTATTTGGAATAAACGGTAAAATTCATAATTTGAGAATGAAATATCAGTGCATAATAATGTTGAGCTCAAGATGATCATCGAATGTATTCAAACTCTGCAACTAGGAGAGATTCTCAAACTCTCCTGATCATTGAGTCCCACAAAGACTAAATCTGACATGAGTTTGAGCCACATCTTCAACTCTATTGAACAATCAGTTTGACTGTGATTGTGAGAATGAGTGATCAGGAAGGGACATCAACCTTCCACATGGAGCGTAAGATGAGCTCCACAGCCTTTGTAACATTTGTAATCAAGTGTGTTTAGGAGATGAGCTCTGACAGACCCTCAGTTACTATAGTAACAGAGCAAGCACTTGCTAAGAGCTGTTTCCTGTGAGACAGAAACTAAATCTTCCTCCAGGTGGCGCTCAGAGACTCAGAAAGACAAAACTCCTGTTGAGCTGCATTCAAATGTCTATAAAAAACAACATGTTTACATATTAGAACTATTAAATCCATTACAGCTGTTGGTTAATGAGAAAGGAAATGTCAGTGTGTTGTCAACTGTGTGTCTCACAGAAAGATGTTTAATCTCACACAGAGACACTGAGGAGCCCCAATCAAGCCCAGTGTAGAGGGGTTCAGTGAATGTGGTGTTGAATGTGTGTAAGTGTGTGAGTGTGCTTGTGTCAGAGATGCTGTAGAAGGACAGACATCCGGCCGACCAGTCCAGATACACTCCTACTCTGTTAGAGAGACATATAGGGGCGGATATGTCTGTACTTCCATTATTATGTTTGGCAGTGAATCTGTCATTAAAACAGGTCAGACTCCAAGAATTTTCATTGCATTCAAACCAACAGTCATTACTCCATCCTTTCCTGCTGATTCCTTTATATGTCACTGATATATCAGTCTTCCCGCTCCATTCAGCCCCCCAGTAACAGCATCCAGTCAGACTCTCTCTAGAACCTGAGGACACTCATCAAATCTCTCTGGATGATCAGGATACGGCTGCTTCTTTTTCACATAAATTATCTTTCTGTTACTCTTAGACAGAGCGAGTCGAGTGTACATCTGAACAACAGCACACCCCTGTTAAAATTGCAGGTATTTTGAGATGTAAAATGTGTATCCAAATCACGTTAAATCATTTTTTCCACCTTTAAACAGTTGTCTATGGCCCCAGAAAAGATTGAAGTTGTTGATGAAGTTGACTCCTTTCAGGTTCTTTGAAGCCATGTAACCAAGAAAACATGTTAGTTCCCCTTGCTGGGAGTGGTCCACTGATGAACGACTGAACTTCGAGTCTTCCAAGTGTTTCAAAGAGTTCACTGAAGTCCTTCTTAAGGAGTTCTGACTGCTCTTTCCGAATATCATTCTTCCCCACATGGATGATGATTTGATTTGCATTCTTGTGCTTCATTAGAATGTTCCAAAGTTCGTTCACATCAGAGACGGTTGCTTGAGGAAAGCAGCATGTAGTTGATGCTTCTGATAATAGAGTCACCCACTATCAGAGTCCTGGGCTCGGCTGCGCTCTGGGCTGAATGCCGCTGTCTGCTCGACCTTGAGTGCCTGTTAGTAGCGATGTTAGCTGCTGGCTGATATAAGATCCATGTTGAGTCACATTTGGGGATTCCTCACCCACATTCATTAATGCTTCAAATCTGTTCTCAGGCTGTGTAGGGGGTGGTAGAATACCGGTGTTTGCAAGCTTTGTCAGCCATATCTGGGGTAGAGGATGCTACCGCAGCAATATGAGATACTCGTGACCATCTGATGTCTCAAGTGTCTTTGTGTCTCGCTCCCTGTTTGTGCCATCGATTAGTGTGTCGATCAGTTTTGGCTTGTTCCTCTACACTTGGTATAAACTGTTGAGATTCACTAGATTCACAGGACTCACCGGCTGTATGCTGAGGGGGTCCATGATGACGGTCTTCTGAGTGTTCTGCCTGTTTTGGAAGTCCAGCAAGTAACTTTGTTTCAAGAACCGCAATCCTTTGTAGAAGTCTGTGGAAGTTTATGCAGCAAGTAGATTCCACAAGAGGCATTTTCTTTCTCGTCTGTTTGAATGTAGGCAGCTGTGTTTTCCCATCTCCGGAATGTAAGCTGCTGGCAGTGGGAGGCAAAGAGTCTTCTTTTTTGTGGCATTATTCCAGTCCCGAAAAGTTTTAGTTTTAGTGTTTGTGCCAAAAAATGTGTTGTTTGAGCACTGTGCTGATCTGCTGAAGTTAAAATCTTAGAAAAATCTGAGAAGAGTACATAAACAGGGGAGCAAAGCGCGGAGCAGTAAGCAAGAGCGTCCGAACAGTAGCAAAGCTACTGAAGCAAGAGTGAAGAGTTCATGTAAACATTAAATCCTTACTCTGATTATTGTAAAAAAAAAAAAATATATATATATATATTGGTGCACATGTAAATGTAGTCATATAAAAACAAAATAATAAATAGTATTGTATTGGCTGTTGTTTTTACTTTCATATTGTAAGTAATGGTTATGCATTTAATCTGGAAAATGTTTCAACACTAAGTGTAACAGGAACATAAATATACATTTGTTAAAAAAAAATAGTGAGGATTATGCCTCCTCCTTAGAACACTGCACGCAACTGCCTAGTAGTAATATGTAAAAGTTGTAGCTACACTCTAAAAAATGCTGGGTTAAATATAACCCAGCACTGGGTTAAAAAGGGACAAACCCAGCTATTGGG